TCATGGAGTCGACCAGGATGGTGTCATCATCTCAACTGTCCACGTTGCGTACGAATTTGCTGATTTTATCTCCATCTGATACATCTCTTATGACATCATTGATTGATGCCTATTGTTGGGAAACCTATTCACTTGATCACGTGATTCAGAACTTGCACACGTTTGACTTTGATCTTATTTCCATACTGTATCAGTTCACTAAAGTGGCTGTATCATGTAAGGAATCTTTAAGATGAGATAATTATTTGGTGGGCATGCCGCTGGCTGGACAAAATGTTTTTGGTGAGTTTGATGCTGGTTGGTCAAATGTTTTTGGCGGGCTCAATGCTGATTGGGCAAATGTTTGTGTCGGGCTTGATGGTGATTGGTTGATCTAGCTGACACATATTTTTAACATTTCAATCCGCCCCCGTCTCTGACTTGTATAAATACAGATGGTTGTCCTGTAGTTGAGTCATTCGTTCATCGAATACAGTGCTGATGAGTTGTTCTGCCTTCGCTTCCTGGAAGATGGATTCCCTTTACGAGCGACGGGTGAGGAAGAATTCCGCTCTTCCTGCTGACCCTCCTCAAGTTGTGCTCTCTTCGAACGCAGTACCGGCTAAGCGTCGCTATGTGCCACCTGCTCCTACCAAGCTCCACAAAGAGATTGTGGTGGATGGGTTTCAGGAGGACATGCAACTGTCCTACAAGTCATCAGGTAGATCCTTCTACAAGCCTGGTTATAAGATGTACTTCCCTTCAGGAGCTCTACCAGCCTGTGGTAGTACGGCAACAGCTCGCAAAGATGCTCAAGGGCAGGTTTACATCGACCTGAATGAGTCCACTGAGTTCATCATTACGAACTTGATCAAGACTTGTCCATCGCTCCGTGACACTCTCCGAAGAGGACGTGTGGAGAAGATCAAGACCAACTTCTACCCATCACGTTCGTCCGACGGTCAATGTCGGGTGTACATCAACGGTGAAAGCAAGCTAGTCCCGACCAGCTCGTTCGAACTGGATGTGGAACAAGATGTTTTCATCTACCCCGGGGCAGTCTCCCTCGACATTGACGAGCAGGCGTTGAAGGTACGTCTTACTGTTGCTCCAATCGTCTGCATCCACGTGGAGCCCAGATGTTTTCATCGTGCTCTGGACGCGCACATGACACTTTCTACCACGGAACTGAAACAGCTAACTGAGAGCTTCATATCATTATGCAGTGTCGCCGTTCAACAAGACGATCAGCTGGTAGAGAGCTTCCAATAAGTCTTTAATGAACTGCATTCTTTATCAGACAGCTGATCATTCATTCTTATCCTATCCTATTTGACTGTATACTACTTCCTACTGCAATATATCATTATATTCAAAACTTCTAGAAAACAAGTATGGGTGGTGTTGTGTCGAGTAATACATCCACGGAAGAGTGCTGCCTTGCCTCTTCTGATTCTAGCGTCCCCACTGATACTAGTAGGGTATGGGTTGCAGGATGTGAAAAGAATGGAATTGGAAAAGATGAGCCAGGTTGATTTCATGTGCGCACCATCAAGGAATGCGTCAATCATGACAAGGTTCCATCATGAATGTGAAGACTTCGAGACTCGTCATGCCTTTGGCATGGACCATTTATTCGTTCCAGATTCACCGTTGTTTCACGAGTGGACATCTGCTAAAAAAGTTGCAATGAAAAAATAAAATAAATGAAAACTCCAAGCGCGTTTTGTACGGTCATACCTCAAAAAGAAGAAGATTAAGTTCCAATACGAAGCTACCAAGTCCGATTTGAACAAGGTGGCGGGGCTCGAGTCTCTCAAGTGCCGGTGGCATTCATGTTATTATTATTTTATTTATTTTACTAGGGTGTTTCCCACAGACCATGTGTTTGGTTACGCTGCACAAGCAGCGCATTACTTTATCCCTTCCACTAATTGTTATCGGCCAATCAGCATACTCTCACCACCTCGCATCCAATCAGCATACCCACGTCACACTAACGTTACACAAACTTGTCTCATTATGCGAAAAAATGGTACTGAATCATAGCAACATCCTCCTGGATAATGAACAAAATAACGATTAATCTACATATTTCGATATGTGCAACAGGACTAAAATCGATGGAGTTACGACAGTTTTACGGTATGTACACAATATCAGTCGTTAATGACTGATGCACCGCAAAGGGTTAAAACACAACAACCGACAACAACCGACAACAACCGACAATAACCAACAACAACACCCAACAACCGACAACAACCGACAACAACAACCAACAACAAACAACAACAACCAACAACAACCAACAACAACCAAAAACAACCAACAACAACCAACAACAAACAACAACAACCGACAACAACCGACAACAACCGACAGCAACCGACAACAACTACCAACAACAACCAACAACAACAGCCAACAACAGCCAACAACAACCAACAACAACCAACAACAACCAACAACAACCAACAACAACCGACAACAACCGACAACAACCGACAACAACAACCAACACCAACCGACAACATCCGGCAACAACCAACAACAACCAACAACAACCAACAACACCACCCAACAACCGACAACAACAACACCCAACAACCGACAACAACCGGCAACAACAACCAACAACAGCAAACGTCAACCGGCAACAACCGACAACAATACCAAACAACACCCAACAACAACCAACAACAGCCCACAATAAACAACAACAACCGACAACGGCCGAAAACAACCGACAACAACCAACAACAACCGACAACAACCAACTACAACCAACAACTAGCAACCGACAACAACCGACAACAACATCCAACAACAACCAACAACAGCCAACAACAACAACCAGCAACAACTAGCAACAGCCGACAACAACGGACAACAACCGACAACAACCAACACCAACCAACAAGAACACCCAACAACCGACAACAACACCCAACAACCGACAACAACCGACAACAACAACAACCAACAACAACCAACAATAACCAGCAACAACCGACAACAACATCCAACAGCCAACAACAACCGACAACAACACACAACAACAACCAACAACAACCAATAACAACATCAACAACGACGACGATAACGACGACAACAACCGACTACAACATCAACAACAACCAACAACAACCAACAACAAACGACGACAACAACCGGCAACAACCGACAACAACAACCAATAACAACATCAACAACGACGACGATAACGACGACAACAACCGACTACAACATCAACAACGACGACGATAACGACGACAACCACAACAGTGTCCGGTAATGTGTGGTAGAGAATGGCAGTCAGCCAGACTGATTACAGTTGAACATGTATAATAATAATAACACATTTCGCGTAGTTGAGCACTAAATAAAGAAATTCAGTTTTTTTTCCCCACTTCTGTCTTGTGAGCATCATCAGCAAGGTGTAGTAGCTGCTGATACTGATTTGTCCTCGAGTGTCGAGCTGCACAGTTTCTTCCAGTCTGTCTTGTCCTCTGCATGGTCTTCATGGGCACACCCAGCTTATTCAACTGAGCGACCAGACTTGTGGCTAGTGTCAACCTTGGCCACCCACGAGGTGCTTTGTTGTCCTTGTCCAAATAGCCGCTCATGGCTACTTAGGGTGGCGTGTCCGTGTCCATCTGTAGCACATGACTGGTCATTCGTAGTCGCCTACACGCAGCGGTGTCATGTATTACTACAAGAACTCAACCAAGTCCTCAGCAGTCATGGAGTAGCGGCAGGTTGGGCAAGTTGGGCTGGAGGCAGAACTGATCCACTCCTTGATACAGTGGAAGTGAAATTCATGACCACACTCCAACTTGGATAGAGGACGGTTCAGGGTATCCTGACAAATCACACAAATGGGCTCATGACTTATTGCTGACGAGTCTACCTTAGTAGGCACTACATTGATGTACTGCAGCTCCATGGGGTGTATTGCCTGGTCTTGATGGTGGTCACCGTAATACACCCCGTTGAGGTACCACTGATAGATACCCTCCTCCTGAGAGATGAAAGCAGGCCCATCTTCCCTATGCCGAAGGTTGTATCGGTACCACTCCCGTACACGGTTGTTACCTTCCCTGCGTATCACGGCTGGCGCATTCTCCCTGTGGAGCCGGTCGTGATAATACCACTGGATGGTGATACCATCATCACTCCGAGTGATCCTGGCTGGTCCGTCTACTCTGTGTAGACGCCCTTGGACATACCAGGCTTCCAGCAAATAGGCGCCATCAAATCTCTCCGTCAGAGCAGGGCTGTCGCCGATCCTTTGTCTGACGCCATTCCAATACCACTCTTCGCGGTGTCGGTAGAACCCCTCAGAGTCTTCACCAAGGTCTGAAAATGTTTCCACTGCAGGGCCATCATACCTGTGGAGTCTTCCGTGGTGATACCACCGTAGAATACCGCATGTGGCGTCATAATAACTGACTGCAGGACCGCCGGCTCTATGACGGGCGCCGTTGAGGTAGTACTCTATGCTACCCCGTCCTATCCAAGCCGGTTCATTAACGCGATGAAGGCGACCTCCATAGCACCAGGCGGACACTCCCCTACTATCAACAAGAGCTGGTCCGTCCTCCCGATGGAGTCTACCATCGCCGTGCCAAATTTCTTGCTGCGCGTTTTGATCTGCCAACTCCACAACTGTTCTTATTGGCGTCCGCCTTTCTATTAGTAAAGGACCCGTGGTGAGAGACCACGACCGGTCGTCCAAGTCTACACCGAATGTATCAGCCATATCTATTTACTGAGAATAATGTAACAACTCCTCCACAAACGCTTCTACAACTGACGTCTTCTTCATCCTGGTTTTTTCCTCTTGGTGGTTTTGGATAAGAGTTGAAAAGTCCAAAAGGTCAACTGATGACCTTTGCGTTACTTGGTATGATTGGGTTTTAGCGGATGATGTCGGTATGCAGCTGGGGAGCGAATTTGACAGGAAGAAGGTAAAGGTCTTGCTTTGCGGTTCACACCTTCACTTCAGTATCATTATCCTGAAAACAGCCCAAATGAGGTTCACGTGTCACTGTGGCGTTCGCCTTACAGGGGTAGTACCCCTGTTTCAACACCTGAGGCGGTGCGTCAAGCGCCGCCTCTTTCTAATCATATATTGCGATAAATGGTAAGTGTGCAGTGCTCCTAGCTCTCTCCCCCAACAAAAGAGCTCTATGACACTGTGCTTTCTGCGGTTTCTTTCGTTTTTACAGTGGAGAAAGGCTGGTGGGAGGCCAGGCCGTGGCCGCACACCTGGCGGGTGCGGCCCATCGGGCCCGTTACTGGGAGGGCCGGCAAGTCGGGCTGCTGTTGCAGTCCGACTACCGGGACGCCATGGAGCGTATCCGGACCCTGTAAGTAAGCACTGCTCTGTCTACATGTATACTTACCCCCCTCGTTATAGCGATACTTACTTGTTTCGTATCCTCTTGTCTTACCCTGCTTCCGTATTCGTGACACTAATAGTGTTTGTGTGCGCTCATGCTTGGTTTTACAGATGACGTATGTATGAAGGTCTGGAGCTAGCTGCCGTCTTCGGGATGTGCCATTTGTTTTCAAAATTATTTGTAAGTACTTGTAACAGGCGTAGTGTAGTAACTGTGTATGCAGTGTAGTAACAGTGTGTGGTGTTTTGTGATGGTCCTGAGCGGTCGTAATGTGTTTTGTGATGGTCCTGAGCAGTCGTAACGTGTTGGGCTACTGAAGTACACTGCATGAAGGGGTATGTGTGGGTGCTTCGACATATTCTCGTGCTTCCTAAACCCTAGATACGTGTATAGCACTATAACCTAGATGTGTGTGTGTGTGCGTGTGTGCGTGTGTGTGTGTCCGCGCATGCGTGCGTGTGCGTGCATTGTGTTCTCTTCTACAGACTCATCCAAGTCCATTTAAATAAAAGTGTATTATAGTGAACAGTATTGTGTTTTGTTACAGTGAATATGTGGGGAATGGTGGATATGCCTTAGTGTGACTGGATACCCGCGGGTTGTGACTCTTTGCTGGTCACTCTGAATTCTCCAGTATAGATTCGATGCAGTGCAGAGGGGATTTGTGGTGCGTAGCAACACTGCTTCACTGTGACACCCCTTCAATAATTGTTTTGATGCATGATACTCCGGGCGTAGCCGGTTGATTCTAACTGTATCCCGATCAAAATAGAAATATGCATCTAATGCACCTGCATGGACAGTAGGCATTTCCCAAATCGGCTGGCCGACAAATTCGCCGAAAAAAGTGGTTTTGAAGAAATCACCCATCTTTTCGCCGAATTTTCAAATTTCGCATGTTGAATTCGCCGAAAATCGATGTTTCAGTGCTTCAACAGAGTGTGCTTGTGTGTAAATGTACATGACGTAATGGGACTTCAAGTACTACGTTGAGCCGAATTCTGATCTTGGGGCTCATAATATGGCCGATTTTGAACATTCTCTTAACCGATCGAAAAACCGATTAGGCATGCTCTGTATGGGCAACTTGTCAATCAGTGCACATCTACGATGTGCGAATAAAACGAATGCACGGAACGTGAACTTGTTTGCTGCACATCTACGAAGTGCGAATCAGGGAGTAGTATAATGACACGTGTACTAGTACACCTTGTGTTGCACTGCATCTTTTCCACACGCATAGGACCACTGAAGGTCACATGCTCCGCGTGCGTATGCGCGCATGCGCAATATGTCATTCGCTGCATGCAATGCACATCTATGATGTGCGAATCAGGGAGTAGTACGTATTTTACTACTCCCCGGTGCGAATGCACCGAACGTGCACAAGTGCACGGTCGCCACGGAAAAGAACATGATGACATTTATGACATGGCAGGGCCAAAGGTCAAACCCTAGGGGGTCCCGAGGCCAGACCAAGCGCGCCCGATACAGTGTGCCTTATTTAACCCAAAGGTCAAAGGTCAAACCCTGGGGGAAGTCCTGGGGCCAGACCAAGCACGACCGACACAGTGTGCCTTATTTGGCCCAAAGGTCAAAGGTCAAAAAGTGCACCAGAACCTGCCCCGCACTAACTACTGTGGCGGGACAAAGGATCAGCCATATTGCTTTTCCCACAGTGTAGTGGAAGTCTGCTAAAAATTCAACCCATCTGGCTTCCCGCTTGGTGAGGTGGGGTTTGGTTTTTAAGTAAACTACGCCCATGTTATCTGTATATATCAAAGTGTTGGAACAGGTATATTCTCCAGCACTTCAGGGCATAGACGACGGCTAGGGTTTCCCTTTCCGATGCAGTGTAATTGCGTTCGGCGTCTGTCAGTTTGCGCCTTGTAAACGCCACAGCATGCCAACCATCGTCAGGACTCTTCTGTAACAGCACACCAGCTACTGCGAAATCACTAGCATCTGTTTCCACCCTGAAGGGGTTGCTGACATCGGCTAACATTAACACAGGGGCATTCAGAAGGAATGTTTTCAGTATTTCAAATGCACGTTGACGACCGTCATGCCACGAAAACCGAGAGTGTTTGCCGGTCAATTCCTCTAGAGGCTTCGAGATCACGGAGTAATGGTCAATAAATCGCCTGAAGTAGTTGGCTAGGCCTAAGAACTGCCTTACTTCCGTCACTGACGCCAGAACCGGCCAATCTTTAACAGCCTCAGTTTAGTAGAGTCAGGAGATATGGACATACCATCAATGCAGTGTCCTAAGAACAGGACTTTCTGAACTGCGAACTCACATTTAGACAACTTGCAATAGAGTGTATTATCGCGAAGTATGCCTAAACCCAGCTGTACGTGCTCCCTGTGCTCCGCGAGAGTTCTGCTGAATACCGTATTTCTGCAAATAGTAGGCCGGTCTACTATTTTTTTCAAACTCGTCCTAACCCGGCCTTATAATTGAGGAGGGTCTTGTATTCGAGGATGGTCTTTTATTCTTTCAACCCAGTTTGACCCCGGTCTTCTATTTTTCGCAGAGCGTGATGGCGGAATCACAAGAAACCAGAAGATGTGCCACACATCGTGACACTGACATGCCACGTGTAGTTGCAGTTTTGTACAAAATGGCAGCCGTCGCACTGTGCATGCGCAGTCGTAAGCAGGGAGTAGTACAATACGGTATTGTACTACTCCCTGGTCGTAAGACTCATTTAGTAGGCCCGGTCTTCTAATCGGAGATGGTCTTGTATTTTTTCAATCGCCCCTGCCCCGGCCTTGTATTCGATGAAGGCGTTGAATACGAGGACGGTCTTTTATTTGCGGAAATACGGTATTAAGATGTCGTCCAGGAAAACGACAACAAACCTTCGTAAGTATGGTTGCAGAATGCAGTTCATCATTGTTTGGAATGTTGCTGGGGCGTTCGTCAATCCAAAACCCATAACCCGAAACTCGTAGTGGCCAAATGGCGTGTTTACAGCTGTCTTGGGGACATCTTCCCGGTTAATCCGAATCTGGTTGTACCCAGACCGGAGATCAAGCTTAGTGAAGTACTTGGAGCCTTGGACGGTATCAAACAAGTCATCCACATTTGGAAGACAGGCCTTATTTTTAATGGTAATCTTATTCAGCTCCCGCCAATCACAGACCATGCGTAAGGTGCCATCCGCTTTCTTAACGAAAATCACTGGTGCCCCAAATGGCGACTTACTTGGCTCGATTATGCCTTTTTGTAGCAGCTCTGACAATTGGCGTTGCAGCTCATCCATCTCAGGTTTCGGCAACCGATACGCTGCTCGTGAGGGAGGTGTTGCACCCGGTTCCACCTTGATCTCGTGATCAACACCACTCTCTGGCGGTAGATGGTCTGGTAGCTGGTCCGGAAAGACGTCAGCATATTCTGCTAACAGTTCTGGAAATGGCTCCTTCTGGCCCGTCGATACGTCTTCTGACTCGGTGGTAGCAGTGACCCACGTGAGGATGCCCATAGCTCCTGTTCTCAAGGCATGTTTCGCTTGGGTACCGGAGATGAATAGTGACTCTACATCGAGTCCACTCGTAGAGCTGTTCTCCTTGGCGGCGCTTGCTGGAATTTCAGTCTCATCGATGCGAATCTCGTTGGTTGGGAAGTTGATCTGTGGGTTAGTCCTTGTCAACCACGGTTTCCCTAGGATTGCATCGTACCGGTTCATAGGGATCACAATAAAGCTTCCTACGACCAGCTTCAATGGCTCCGTTGTCTCAAGGGGCAGGATATTCGTGGTTCTGTCAGCCAAGGTGATACGGAGCGACTCCGAGCTTCCCGTTGTTGCTAAGTTCAGCCTCTGTGCGAGGGTACTTAAAAGGAAATCGTGTGTGGATCCAGAGTCCAGTAACATGGTTGCGCGGTGCCCATCTACCTTGCCCGTCACTTGAAGCAGCTCGTGTTCAGTGCTCAACGCAACAACGCTAATGCGAGCGTTAGCACAATGAGGCTGGTCTGGCAGATCGGTTACCTCGGACAGTTCAATTTCAAATGGTGTTCTTGGTGATGCATCAGCGATTTGGTCCTGCATCATGTCTGGCTCTTCAGTGGGGAGCCGCTTCATATCGGTTGTGTATGTCCAAGTGGGTGCGGTAGGCTTCGCCAGTGAGCGCACCCCTCTCTTCAATGGCTTCCACCGTTTGGGTGAGGTTGAGCCTCCAGGCAGTCCCTTGCCACATGGTTGGGATTGCCGCAGGACCAACAGCGGCGACGATCGGGCTCTCCTTCTTGCACCCTGGCTGAAGCCGTTCTGCCTTGCAGAGGATTGCGTCATCTTGGACTAGTAGTTGATTGGTTCCTGGTATTGCCAAGAAATTGTCGGTCTCGGGCATACCAGCTCTGGCTTGCAGTCTCAGCTGCCTTGATGGCTTCCGGAAGGGATTTTGGGTGTTCCATCAACACCTGTCCCCGTAACCCCAGCGGAAGCCCCCTAACAAATAATAGAGCCCTTGAATGCTCATCGATTTCAGGCACCTGCAGGCTCTGACGGGAAAAGAGTGTGATGTATTCGTCGAGACGGCCACGGTACTCCACGGCAAACAGTTTGAGTCTCGCCTGCTCAGCATTATGCCGAGGCCCATATGTCTTCTCTAGCGCACCCCGCATCGCTTCCCAATCTCTGTACCGCTCTCCATTGTCTGTCCAACGACGTCATGAGCCATGGCATAGGCGGGCGTTGTCCTCCAGGAAACTGGCAGCATGGTTCAGCTCCAGTTCAGGAGAAGCGAAGCAGTGGGATTGCAAGGCGAGTACCATTGCAAATACCCATTCTCGAAACTGTACGGAGTTGCCATTGAAGGTCGGCGGCGGTCGAACTGCTGTTCAATGGCCTGGGCCAGTTTGGGATTGTCCCCGATAGCATCGGTGCTCTGGCTGTTCTACAGCGTGAGTTGCTTCTTGAGGCACGGCATGCTGCCGCTGTCCCGAGGAAGTGGTGAGCAGTAGGTCCAAAGTCTTGCCTCTTGCCGGTCCTCAGCACAATATAGAGCAGCAGAATGCAGGTTGTCACGACGATTGCAGATACCAGGCCCAGCAGTTTCCGCGGTGGAAAAAACCATGCTCTTGCTACCAATGTAACAGACTGATAGTAGTAGTAGTTTTTATTATTTTACTAGGGGAGTCCCAACAGGCTACTGCCTTTTTACTGGGAACCCTAGGTGAAGTTTAAC